CTATGCCTGGATGGAGGCCACACTAAATAAAGCCTTACCTTGGGGCTACTGATCAGCAAGCCTAATTTTCAAACCTCATTCTGAAGCAAAGGGTATAATTCAAGGCCTTCTTCTCTTGAAATTAAGATGCACTAGTTTTTCAAGTCAATCGGATAGCTTGATAAATACTATACAAAATGATAGGCGTCTCTTAACCGAATAGTTTCCCATGCAAGATCATGTCATATCATTTAATTCTCCAACAACGATACCGTTCCGTTGTTAAAGTTAACTAGATTTGAATGTTGTTTTGTTGTTTTGTGGCGAAGACTAGCCACGCAGCTATGCTGCTTAACCTAGCAAGTGTTCCAAATGAAATAAGTGCTTTGTACCAAACTTCGCATATTTAGGAGGTAGATTTTGCCGAAAATGTGAATCACAAATTCCAGTCTGTCCCTTAACCGATGACGAATCGCTAGTTGAGGTGTTGCTCGTTTGTTTGAAAAACATTCAATGGCGGTAGTGAAATTTACTTCCTATATCTCTATCTCTATAGCTTTGACTGAAATTCGAGAGCGTATAAAAATGCAAAAAAGTTTTAAAAATGTAAAAAAGTAGATTAAGAGAAATCTGAATTTAACAGCAGCGAAGAATAGCACATTCATACGCACAAAGACTGCATAGATTGTTTCACAATCATTCCAGTCCGGAATAATGGGCTCCTGCTGGCAGAGTGAGGAGAGAAGTGGGAAGAAAGTGTGCACAGGTGAATCAATAACAAGTGAAGGCTAACGTGGAGGGTTAAATAGGTCAAATATGAGTGATTAGTTGATCATTAAACATGCTCCACTTAAAATCTATAAACTTGGTTGGCACCATAATAAGAAAATGGGAATAAAGTTGACAGTGTGTACACACTACGGTAACCTCTACTAAGTATACATTATCTAGAAGTGGATCTAACAACGGTAGTGGCAGATTGTTCCATTGGAACAACTCTATTTCCAATTTAGGTGTTGGCGTTTTTATGCGGCTCACCCACTTTCCAGCCAATCAGCTAATCTTTAACTCGAGCGTGACCAATAAGAGGCGTAGATGGGAGTGAGTGGGGCTGCAGAAGGGTGGAAATGGGCCATCTCTAATCTATGCAAATTATTGCTCCGAAAATTTCTCTGATG